GATAGTTGGACAAAGGGATTATTTTCACGCTTGGCAGAGGATGATCAGCTATATAGTTTATTAAGTAGCAAGAGTAGGGAAAGCCATACAGCTGAGAGCGAACAATCAGTGTGGAGCATAAAGCGCAGACTCTGAGATACTCGGGTGCAAAGAAGCATTTCTGCACTCAATAGAGCAGAGTTTGTCAAAGTTCAGTGTGCAATACCGGACCATTCTGGGTTACATTAACCCCTGCCGCTGCTGCCATAATCCATCTGTGGTCATGCTGAATGTGCACCACTGTACGCAAGGTGGGCGGCATGACCTAACAGGACGCAGTAGCATGGCTGATACTGTTTAGCTTTTATAACAGATTACAGCACAGTAATGCATTTTAAATATCTGACTGACCACCCGCCTATTTTATTAGTCTCATCTTGTTGACGAAAACTCAAACCTATGACTAGTCATCTTTTAGTCATCAAAGATCCATGTTTGTCAGTATTCGCTATTGTCATGAAAAAAGGAGCATCAATGAACGCTGCTAGTACTGCTGGTAACATGAGAATTTTCTAAAAGTTCAATACTTGTATGCTGTATTGTTGTATAGTTCAATACTTTGTATTGCAGAGTCAATTAAATGTGAAAAAATCTGGGGTTGAACATAAAGTAAACTTGTACAGGGAATAAGTCACATTTATGTGTCTCACAAATGGAACCTTCTCCCATTTTCTTTTCCAGAAGGGAAGTGTGTCCCAGTGTGTCCCGATGGTTTCTTCGGCAATGAAGACTTTAACGAGTGTGAGGAGTGTCACCCGGACTGTTCAACGTGCAGCGGCCCAGAGAACACCGACTGTCTGTCGTGTCAAGAGGGAAGGATGCTTCAAAACAGGGAGTGTGTGCCAGACTTTGAGGTCTGTCCTAGTAAGACCTTTCTCAACGGTGAGACTAATAACTTATATTCCACTAATCCAACTGTCTGCTCTTAATGAAGAAGGGATTTAGCCACTTTCAGAGGGGCAGAAATGAAATAGCGGAGGGTAATTGGTCTGTGTTCCACCGTCCCTGAACCCTGCACCATCTTACGGACTCAGAGCAGAACGAATGTCAAACAGATAGACTTTAGAATAATTAACTGTAAATGCAGCACATTTTGTTCTTTCCATTGACAGGCTTGAAACAACACTTAAATTAATGTTGGGCTAAAAATGAATCTAACAGAATTTGGCATGTTAAAATACTATTCTGGTAAAAGTTTGCTAGTAGTCACTATGGAAGTAAATGTCTATTTTAATTAAAGCCTTTAAAAGGAGACTGTAACAAAGCCTTCTGGTTGCCTTTTTCAGGGTAGAATTAACTTCATTTGCAAGGATTGGGTCTGTATATTTTATTTTAGTGTTGATTTTAACTAATCCTTACTCTATTAAAATGTATGTATAAATCAAATTCATATTTCCCACCACAAAATGTTTAAATGTCAGTGAGTTGCCCTGTTTTTGTCTCCACTATCAAGCTTCTGTTATCATTTGGGCTGAGTATTTGACCCCACGTTTGGCCAGAAAGATAGATATAACCTTAGTTGATGTTTCATGGTTATTCTTGAGAACACTAAAAATGTATGCATTTCAAAATCCATTTTAATATGTGTATGGAATCACTGGCCAACTGGAAAGACCAATTACTCTATGTAAAATGTTTAACCATCTAGTCTAAAATGATGACAAAGGTGGCCAAGGAGGAGTCAAAGTTTTAAACGTAAGAGCACTGTAGTGGGAGAGGATGCACAAAGTGGACATAACATTTAATAATACATGTTATTTAAAAGTGGCCTATCTAGACACTCAAGGTCACTGTACAAAAGAGAAAAACACAATGGCAGAAACAAAGTTAAAACACAGAATAAAAACATTTCAAAATTACAACAGCTGGAAAGAGAAATTAATATTACAGATAGGCAATCTTACAAAGATGAGTTTTGAGTTGTGATTTGAAATTGAAAAGTGAGTCCGTGTTTCTAAGTAAGGGTGGTAGAGAGTTCCAGTGATGGGGGCACAGAGATTGCATGCTCTGCTCCCCGTGGTGGTGAGACAGGCAGAAGGAACAGACAGGTGTAAAGCACATGAGGATCTAAGAGCACGGGAGGGGGCGGGAACATGCAGGAGGCCTGACAGATATGGGGGGCAAGGTGCTGAAGGGCCTTGAATGTCACCGTGAGAATTTTATATAATGCGGAACTGCACAGGGAGCCAGTGGAGCTGTCGGAGGACCTGGGTGATGTGGTAGATAGAGGGAGTTCTTGTGTGGAGGATACAAAGGCCAAGTCCACCCCCCCTCTAAAGTATGAAAAGTATGGAGAAGAAATAGATGAGAATGATGAAAGCAACTAAAAGTGCAATCAGAGACACAGCCCAGAAGCTAATAATAAGTAAATAAACAGAGCAAAACTAGATATGAGACTCAAACCCAACAGGAGACTGGGAAACCCCGAAACAATAATAAAGCTGAAGTTAAAAAAAATCACAAAAAAGAGAGTGCCAGGCTATCCAAAACAATAGAGGAAGCTGCTAATAAGAAAATAAAGAAAACCCGAACTGAAATAATATCAACTGCCCTGATATGATAAAGTCCAACACATAACATTTTTTGATCCAGCAGGGCAAAGATCCTAAACCCAAATCAAAGCTACTATTCAAATGAATAATTCTAAGCTGGTGAAAAAGCTCTGACCTGATATATATATATATATATCAGTTCCAGGAAACTACATCAATTTAATGAATTCCACCAAATCTGCCTAGGATAATTGTCAAATCCAAGCTTAGTTTGGCCAGAACTTAGTTAATGACTGCAACATTAGAGATCAAGCATTAGACATCCGACTGAGGAAAATGCAACCAAAAAGATAAGACTGCTTGCATTTTTGATCTTGTCTGACACATTTTGACAACCATGGAGTAAAACAAAAACTTCTATAAATTAAATATGTTGCAAGATCCTTATGTTAAGTTAGTTATCTAATTCAGTTGTATATATTTCATCCCATAAAAATGAAGGACAGATAAAATGTATTGCTATATAGCCCAAAAGATTTCTGCCCGTGATCTTAATAAACATAAATGTTTTATTTAAAAAGCAAGCTTAAGATAAAATAATTGATATTCTTTACATTTCTGCAGTAAAGTTAGCCTAAATTAACAAATGAAACTGAAATATCAAAGGTGTCATCATGAATGTCATTGAATTGAAATTAATATGTTAGCTTTAAAACGCAACCAAGGTCGTAGGTTAGGCTAATTGCTCTTATTCAATGACCATTTGAGAAAAAAAATGTTTTAATACATAATAATAGATCTTCTCCCTACTAATTCAACTGGTATCCATAAAATGGAGATAGGATAAACATAAAAATAGAATTTGCGATCTGTAATTTTGATGCTCATGGCAGAATCGTGACTGGTTTTTTTTTTTTTTTTCTGTTTACAATCATTATCCTAAAAACCACATTAAGCCAGGGATGTGTACTATGACGGTCCTGGATCACAGCTCAGCTGTCTTTCTGACAAAAACACTTTATCACTAGAGTAACATGATAATCCCTGCTTTGTTTTCCCTCCAGATAATGGCGTGTGTGAAGACTGTCACCAATCCTGTGAATTCTGCTCTGGACAGGCAAAAAATCAGTGCACAACGTGTGGAAAAGGTCTGTCAATGAGCCACTATCTTACAGATGGCTCTAAAGTTTTGTATTTCAACTGTTACAACAAATTACATCCAGCGCTCTTTCCTCCAGGGAGATTTCTGACTATGCAACAGACATGTGTGACGAAGTGTCCTGCGGGCTTCTTTGCCAGCCGACTGAACGGCGTGTGTGAGGCCTGCCCTCAGGGCTGCTTGCAGTGTGTCGATGCTCGTCACTGCAGCCGCTGTCAGAGCTCTCAGAAGGCTCCATTGTTCCTGCAGAATGGACAGTGTGTTACAGAGTGTGTCGGGTTAGGAGTCTATCTTGTTACTGTTTGATTACTGTGCTCAGGGTTTCTTTTTAACTTGGTTTGACATTTGATTTTTATCAGTTTGGGAAAATGTAACCCTGCTGAAAATAACATATTGTAATTACACCACTAGAGAATCAGGAACAATAGTTGAGGCGTGTAAATTCTGGAAATATTTGATGTTATCATAATATTTTTCTAGTTTATCATTTTAGGCGCCTAAACTTTGACACCAGCATGTCTGGAAGTACAGTATTGTCTCCTCTAGTTGTCATATTTGGATTCTACTAGATTGTTTGGATATATCATTAGTTAGTTTCTTAATTGAGGAACTTGTTTAGCCCAGAAGCTTCTGTGACCTATTCACATGCAATGCAAGTCAGATTTAAAAATAATAATAAAACAAAAACAGAGATAACTTTATGTCATTGTTTCATATGTGTTGTTGTGCAGCTAAGAGTAAATCTGAAGAATTTTTTTCTACAGCTGTTTATGCTTATATAACATTGTAAAAACAGTAGGAGTATAAGGAGCCAAACATTTAATTGAGGTTTTATTACAAACGTCATGGACCAACATACTTAGTTAGCTAGTTAGTTACTTTCTGGAATAGAAAAGAATTTCTGGATAAAATGATTTTTTATGTTTTTTTTACTTTGTACAGTAGTTGCAATATTCTATAATATACAAGATATTTAAATTTCATTTTATTTGAATAACTGTTAGGTACATAAAAAAAATACGATGTGGAAAATGACATGTAATTTTAAATCCAAGCATGGTCAATTTTTTTATATGTAATTTATCATCATAAACATTGCAATCTCTCTCTCTATCTCTCTGTATATATATATATATATATATATATATATATATATATATATATATATATATATATATATATATATATATATATATATCAATGTATTTATTTGCTTGTTTGTTTGTTTATCTATAAAACAGCTGCATCAGCACTTGCTCAGGGAACCAAATGCCTATTTTTATTCTAGTTTCAGTTATAATTAATCAATTAGGCTAATTACTCTCTGAATGTAATCTTACCTGAAGTGTTTCTGTCTGGAAACCTGGAGTCCAGCTCACAGCTCAGCTCTGTACAAAGAAAGAGGCAGATTAGGAGAGAGGATATAGATGGAGGAGACAAAGCAGGCAGGATTCTCTGTGCTAGAAGCTGCAGAGCTGGGACTGACCCTGGCAGCGCCTCTTCAGGTGTGTGATCTCCAGCTGCAGGCCGGTCAGCATGGCCAGGTGCTCCTGCTTCAGGAAGCAGATCCCCCTTTCCACGCTGGCCACCTGCTGCTCCAGCCTCCCGGCGTCCATGACTCCACCTTCACGCAACCTGAACAGATGTCAGCAGCTGGACATCAGTGACATCACCTGATAACATTGAGTATATTCATAAGAAATGATTTCCCGATTGATCAAAGGAAATAGCAGATAAATCACTCATCCATCTTCTCTTTTATTTTAGTTGCATTCGGTCAGATTAATGCGCGCGTTTTCCGGTGTTTAGAGCGTAATAATCTTGTCTGTGGCCTACCGTGATACTGAAGCGGTATCCAGTCTAAAGGATGTCTCATGGATCCCGGACCGGTGTCTGTCCTCGATGCAGCCAAAATGCGGACAAAATGAAATAAAAACCCGAATGCGCTAAATGACGCTCTCCAGCTGTTATGTTTGCTTTTGCAGCTGTTTCTCGGTGCGCCTCCTGCAAAGCATGAATGAATCCTGCAGCATCAGGCTGAGTGGATATAACCTACTCTTCACCTTCTGCTGTTACGTGCAGTGCGGCGCTGCGCTGCGCTCACAACAAAGCACCGAGCTATGAGGGGTTATTAGTGCCCCCGAGAAGCAGATCAGGGGAAGAGGCTTGATTGTAGAAGCTGCCAATGGGACAATGTACCTCTTTTTAATTTCAGAAATTATACTGTATGCACATTTGAAGAGCATGCGTTTTTCTCTAAGGTTTCACACAAAGCATTACATCTTTAAACTCTGATTATTTTACTGGAGCCTAACTGTCTTACCAAAAGATTTAACACCTACACTGAAAAAAATAATGCAACCATTTTTGGTATTTACTTAATCATATTTAGTTACTTTAACAAAATTGTTTAATGTTAGAAGGGTAGGACATAAAANAATTAATTGCTTTCAAAAGTCACCTAAGTGTAGGTGAGCCACTCTTTCAATCTCTGTATGAGTCCAGCTGATTTATGAAGCTGTCAAGAGGTGTAGAAAACAAACTGCATCACGGAAAAAAAATCATACAAATCACTAAAGAAGCTTAAAATCGAATTGGGTTGTGAAGAAATATCCTTACACTTTGAAAATCACCAGAGTCATTATTGAATCTATTATCTGAAAATAGAAGAGTACAGCACAATGTTAAACCAAGAAAGACATGGCCCGCCACCTGAACTGGCAGGCAGACCATTAATTAGAGAAGCAGCCAGGAGATTCTTAGTTGGTCCAGAAGAGCTACATAGGTGCATACTACCGGTCGGGGAATATGTATGTATGAGATATAGGTATAAAAAGCCCTGTTTGCATTAAATATGTGAAATAAGGTGCTCTCGTCAGAAAAAAAACACATTTATCCTATTTACCCACATGGAAAACAATAGCACATCATCCTGAAATCACTTTCCTCATAATTCTTGTAATATTGTGTTTTTGGATTATTTTCATCTAAAGGGACCTGAGAAGCTGCTGATGGTTTAAAGGAAGATAGATGGAACTAAATACAGAACAATTAGTCATTAAAAGCAGCAAAAAACTTAAGATTGGGTCTGAGTTAACCACCCAGCACAACAATATCCCTAAACATACAACCAAAACCGCATTGAAATGATTAGGATAAAAAATGTTCAGTCCAGACCCCTGGGCAACTTCAGTTTAATAGATCATAGACACCCTCTCTGATCAAAATGAGCTCAAGGTATTTTACAAATAAGCGTGAGCAGTAGATGTAAAAGGCTGGTAAAGACAAAACCCAAAAAGGCTTAAAACTGTGCCTACATCAAAAGATTTACCAAGAATTGACTCAGATGCATCATATTTTAAATTATTTTGACACCAAAGCATCCTCCTGCTTCTTCTCAAACATACAATCTTTCCTCATTTTGTGTGCATTCAATCTAAATAAACAAGTAATAACATTAAAAGAATCTTAAAAGTTGATGTGGTAGGAGTACTTTTCCAAGACACTGTCTTGCACTGTGCATTAATGCTTGTTTCCTGTACCGTAATTTTACTTTTTTCAGTTTTTATTCGCCTACTGATATGTTGTTCATTCTCTGCAGGGGATATCCTGTAGGCCAGCTGTGCCTCAGCTGTGCAGTTGGCTGTGCGTCCTGTGAGAAGAATGCCACTCACTGTCTGACCTGCAACGATCCTCTTCTTCTGCATGATCACCAGTGTGTGCAGGAATGTCCTCCAGCACACATCGTTCATGATAAGGAGTGTCATCGCTGCCCCCCGGCCTGTAAGGACTGCAACCACCTCGGACAGTGCACAGGTAGAAAAAAAACATAAGCGTAAACATAAAGTACTTTTAAAAAAACTTATTTTAAACCTGTTTCTTTTCATGGCTAGAAACCAGAGTTTTCATTTTGCATTATGCGTCATAAAATCGTCAATTGTGTTGTGGCAAAAACACATTTAATGGAATAAAATCATATATTTTAGGTTCTCATTTAAAATTTTATGCACGAATCAATATTAGGCTCATCTTTTTCCACATATTGCTTTTCTGAAGTGTCTAGATTAAAAAGAGCATGGTTTAGTTCATGACTCAAATGTAAAAGATGATTTTTAGCCAACTGAAACCCACTTTGTTTCATTTTACTTACATCTACTTGTTATGAAAAAAGTTTTTCTTGGATTTAGTTGGAGAGTTTCCCTGTTTTTGCAGGCTGCGAGGAGTATCACTTTCTCCACGAGGGCCTGTGTTTGCCAGACTGTCCGGAGAAGTTCTTTGAGGACATTGAGCGACGGGAGTGTCTTCACTGTCACGCTGATTGTGCTCTCTGTGATGGCCCAAACAGCAATGACTGTGATGCCTGTGTCCACCCTGAAGCCACCCTGCACAATGGGGCCTGCATGGCACCGTGCCCCTCAAGCACATACAGGGATGCAGTTACAGGAGAGTGTAAAGGTACAGTACCTCACCCAATTCACAACATGCATTAAAGCTAAACGACTTTGGAACAGATGACTTGAAATGGTGAATTTGAAGAAAAAGCTGCTCATTTAATTCAAATTAAGTCGCAACTGAAAGTATGCCAAAGTCGTTTGTTATCTCTTAAACTAAGTTTTCTGTCCCGAAGAGCACCCTTCGTGCATTTCCTCAATTATATTCTCTACTTTGCCTGAGTGTGTTTCTTGACGATGGCTCAGACTAAAATAGCAACCCTTTGCAGACGGTTAACAGGCAGCTGTCAAACGTTGGAACTGCATAGTGATGCCAGCGACAGTTCCCTGGAGGAAGACACACTGCTCTGGCTTTGTTTTTCTGTTTTTTTTTTTGTGTTTTGTTTTGCTTTTTTTTTTTTTTTCAAAAACGCTGAGGATGGTGTGTTTCTCACAGAAGGAAATTGTAGGCAATGTCTTTTTTAGTTGCCACTTAAAGGAGGTGCAAGTAGAAAGATACTTTAAGGGAATAGCACTGCTGTGCTGAAAAATTATTGAGATACAGAAAATACAAATGGTATTTTTAGACAACTGGTTGAAAATTGTCAAGTAAAATTTGTAGTAAATAAAATGTATACAGTACAGTCTGTTGTAAGAGAACTTATCCCCTTGAAACATTTTCACATTTTGTCTTGTTAAAAGCACACTTGGAATTACTATACCCCTTATATGATAGCCCTGCACAAATAAGGCAATAAATATCAAGTGGAAGCTTATAATATGCTTTCTTTCAGGATATCCTTGTATTCATCCCAACTCTTCTCATCCGCATTAATCCTTGTCCCTGTTACTGATAAAGAAAGGCATCCACACATCATGACGCGGCCACCACCATGTTTTACTCTAAGGAAGGCATGTGTAGGTGTTCTGAGCAGTGTTTGGAGCAGGAGCGGTTCAGTACATAAGAACACAAAAATAACTAGAATAACACAAAATGGAAATGAAACCAATGAAAACTAAAAAAAAAAAACTTAAACAGAACCAAAACCGTCACAGCATGGTGGTAAGTAATAAATGTACTGATACATCCTTTGATTCACTTACTATGACTTTTCTCTTCTCAGAATGTGATGTTTCATGCCTCACATGTTTTGGGCCCCACATGGGTTCATGCACCAGCTGCAGGGAGGGTCAAAACTTGGATGGCCACAACCGGTGTATCCCTCTGGCCAACAAGTGCTCGCCTCATCAGTATGCTGACGAGGACAGGGAATGCCATCCTTGCCACAAGTACTGCCACAGGTGTTCAGGTCCCGGCAAAACCCATTGTTTGAGCTGTAATCAGGGACACTTTCTGCTCGGTAAGCCCAGTTTAGTTTGGGTTAATTCTCGAAACTTTAAGCTTCTTTTGCTTTTGCAATGTCTACTGTGGCTGGAAAAAATCTATTTCCTATCACATCCCTTCTAATATTAATTATGAGTGCTGAATTTTATCTACCTACTTTTAAATGTATTAGCTCAAGCAGAGCACCTGCTAGACAAGCCTGAATTTGGGTCTTTTCTTACTGAGGTAGCTGTTTTACAGTTTTTGTTTTGGTAAGAGACTCCTTTAGACTGAAGGTTATTTCAACAATCTTTGTGTTTGTGGAAAACTGTCTACTTTGTGAGAATTTCTCCCTGTGCTTCTTAAGTAGTTAATAAAATCCTGTGTGAGCAGGACAGGCAGAAACATTGACAAGCTTGTATCTGTTCTTCCTTGCAAGGGTTAATAAATGCTGCTTGAGTGGAAAACACTGAATCACAAATTCTTGTTAAATAAACATTTAGCCCTTTTTTCCCCAACAACACCTATGCATGTGTGTGTTTTTGCAGATGGTGCTTGTGTAGATGAATGCCCAACGGGCTATTATGAAGAGGAGTCAAAATGTAAGCCGTGCCATGTTTCCTGTCAGTCCTGTGTTGGAAAGCTGAGCCACCAGTGCCTCACCTGCAAAGCCCACCTGTTCCGAGAGGCCAAAGAGTGTGTGGAGAGCTGCCAACATGGGTAGTCTAACCTGTTTACTCTCAAGCAATGCTGCTCACCCATTAGAGTTTTCTTAATGAATGATCACCCCGGACACAAAATGCCATCTTGGATGCTAAGAGATCACCAGACAGGTTTCTAAAATGCATTCTAATTTAGTTTGGGATTTAAATGCTCCTTTATGAGGCTCAGTGCAGTAACTGAGAGGGACAAATTAATGTGGCGGAAAATTGATGTGCAGTTAAATACCCAAGAGAAAAGCAAACAGGATACAGAGAGAACATAGCATCAGAGCAGCATGTGGACAGTGCTACACCTCTCATCAATGACTGGGAGTCTTTTATTATAGCTGCATCCCCTCTGTTATTTGTTTTTCATGTCATATATTGGCTGTGCTGGATGAGTCTAACTATATGTGTGGCTGTGAAAAGGAATTTCTCGTGGGAAAACTCTAATTTCATTTCATTTAATTGAATCTAATCTATCATAACTTTCGCCATCTGTCCTCTAGTCACTATGGAAACCCTGTCTCAAGGATTTGTGAAAAGTGCGACCCAAGTTGCAGTGAGTGCATTGAGGGCGGGGAGGACAGCTGCCTGAGCTGCGCTCCGGGCCTTGTCTACCTGCG